CCCCCCACACACACAAGTTCCAAGGTGAATATAACCCCCTCACAAATAAAACAACATGCCCAGTGTCAATCCATGTCACAAACATCTACCAATTCCCAGTGCCGTGGCCACCGTTGGCAGCGTTGCCAGTGGCAAGATACGCAGAAATATCACTCATGCCATCCGCTTCCAGAATGTTGAGCAGCTGCGTCTGCTGCTCTTGCGTCAAGCTATCGTGGCGCTCATTGCCAAAGTACTGGTTCCCGTATCCTTCCCACGAGAGGAGACCCCCGGCCGAGGTAGAGTTATGCCACGGGGCGCCTTCCATCGGTAGGTTGTGGTACGGGCTGTAGGGGTTGTAGGCCTGTTGAGTTTGTTGTTGTTGCTGTTGTTGTGGAAGTTGCTGTTGTTGCTGTTGGTGCTGTTGTTGGTGCAGCTGCTGGTGTGGTTGTAGCTGGTGTGGTTGTAGCTGGTGTGGTTGTAGCTGGTGTGATGGTGGATGATGGGATCGTGGCTGAAGGGTTTGGTGTTGTTGTTGTTGTGGTGGTGGTGGTTGTTGTTGTTGTGGTTGGGCGGAATGCTGTATTGCTGGCGCTGGTGGCAGAGAGAACTGCGGTGGTGGTGGATGTTGAAGGCTGGGGCCACCAAAGGCATAACCTCCTTGCTGCTGGGTTGGGGGTTCCCAGATGCTGGCCGAGTTGGCCCCTGCAAACGTGTGTGGTTGGAGTATCGGTGCGGGCGGGTTGCTCCAGTTGGTCACTCTCGTTGCTCTTTGGGCATTGGAGCCTGGAATAGGAGGGATTGTGAAGGCTGGAATGTTGGATGGAGCCGCCATGGAGGAAGTTGGTGGGCCAGGCTGTTGCTGCCCATAGGGTTGCCCAAAGCCGTACTCAGCAAGTCCATGAGTAGCGGGAACAGGACTGTGCCGGGTGACCATTGGCAGTGGGCTTGCATGATGGAGCGTTGGCGTGGGAGTCGGGCTTGGACCTCGGGGTGTGCCAACCAATCGTGGCGAAAGGCTCATGTGGCTGGACTTTGCCGATGGTGGCGGGAGCGACTCTGGGGGAGTTGGCAGCGAGCTTGGTGTCCCTGTAGGCATCGGCGGCGTGCCTGCCTTTCGCTCTGCGGCCGGGGTTTGGTAGGGAGTGGATTCGGGAGCCAGTTCAGAGAGTCGCCGGCCGTGTGCATCTGTCAAGGAGCTCATCGGGTTCATGAAGATTGAGTTTGACCGAAAGGCGGGCTGGTTTTGAAACGGCGATTGGTTCGCATATTGGGCACCCTGGTCAAAGTTGTAAGGGGGCTCGATGTTGTACCCGAATGGCGACTGGTTGCTGAAGAGAGATGTTGCCGAGTGTGACTGTTGGCCTTGCGGTGACGAGTTCTCCGAGTCGGGAGAATTGCCGTCTTCAGTCAAAAACGGCGACTTGAAGTGGCCATTGGGCGCACTGGGCATGGGGGACGACAACTCAAACGTAACTTTGGCTGTGTAGCTCTGCAGACAAGCCTTTGACAAGACTTCGTACAGGTTGATGGCCTCTTGCACGCCTGGCCATTTGGGGTGGAAGTTTGTGATGATGTTGATGCCATCCTGGACAAGCTGCTCAACATCCTCGCGGCTGTTTTGGGCTCGAACCTCAGGGTACCCAATAGACCAGAGAAGGGCATTGAGCGACGAGTTGATGGTCTGCAGGAACACCCATGTCCGGTCGAACGTGGGCTGCTCCCGATCAGGTCCTGTCGAAGAGGATGTGATGATGGACTTTGCTGCTTCAAAGCAAATTCTAGCCGCCCTGGCAGTTGGCTTAAGCACTTGGGGTGATGGCCGGTAGAGAATGATCATGACGGCGTGATATCGGTTTGTAAACCTGGATCAATACCGGTCAGCCATTTGAAGAAACGAGTTCTGATATGCCCACCTACCAAGGCTTGAACAGGGGAGGCTGTTCTGGACAAGAGTCCAGCCAATCCTTCAACTTTTGGTCCATTTGCTGGAACCAAGGATCTACATCCGTTATTCGTGCCGGTCGTTCCTGTTCGTAGAGCACCCGCCGGATCTCGGCCTGCATCAGCCGCATCTTGCAGTAATGTATGGCGATGGTTTTCCGTTCACAGAAGCGACCCTGTAGGATGCTCTCGGGCGTCGCATCTGGCGTGATGTCCTCATCCTGAATCGTCTCGAAGAACTTCACCTTTATCATGTCACCGGTTCTCGAAAACCCGCTGGGGCGTCCCAGCATATGGGCGAGGCCCAACTCGGTCGTGAGCACAATCCAGACCAACCTTCTCTTCAAATCAAGGCTTTGAAGATCGCTGTCACCCATGGCCAATGTGTTTTCGTCCCCGAGGGCCCATTGCTGGCATATTTTGATGGCAAGCCCAACCACGTGGTAAACGGCAATCTTGATGGGCATCAGCAGCGAGTACTGTACGATCAAGATCAAGCATTGTAAGGTCTTCAGATCCTTTGGTCTGACAACGTGGTCGAAATGCTCCATGGCAGCAAGGTAGTATGTATCTGGCAATCCGGCCCACCTGTCGACCTTGGCCAGACTGATGGCAATCATCATGTTGACAGCAAAGAGGCGGTAGTGGTCCGTATCACCATTGAAAACGGCCTCGAGATCTCGAGCAAAGACAGTCTCATGGAAAACCGGGGTGAATACTTGTATTCTTTCTTTGAAAACTCTCCACAGGTTCTCTGTCATGGCTCTCGTGGGGAACTCTTTGGCAGGAATATCGGCCGTCAAGGGAAAGTCGACTGCCCTGGGACCTGAGGGTCCGCTGAAGCTTCCCATGACAACGCTTTGCATACGGTCCCGCTGGTCGATTCTCCTGGAGCGTAATTCCGGGATCAAGGAAGAGATGCGGAGGGAGTCGGTATAGCGTTTCGCCTCCTCCATGAGAATGCGCGTCATTGCGATGCCGCTGCTGGGGCCCAGATACCGAGGGGATTCGACCGACTTTTTGTCCAAATGAACCAGCCCGCCTGGCGTTACCATGTCGTCGTCATCGTTTGGATCCTCCCCCGTGAGCTGTTCGAGTTCGGCCTCTAGACGCTGGACCTTTTTTTGGAGGTCTACAACGTAGGTCCGGTTCATCTTGCGGTTTTTTGTCGTGTCGAAGTACTCGCATGTCTGGCCGGCGCGGTCGCAGGGACTACATCGTGGGAGGGCTGGATCGCATTTCGTTTTCCTCTACGTCGATAGGCAAGCGTCAGCTCAGGTTGTACCAACTCAGACAAAAGCAGCTCTGCAGCATTACAGGGTAAGGATCCCTGGGAGTGAGGGCCGTACCTGTCTGCACCTGCAGCACGCTGTCAAGGTATGCACCGTCCCTTGGTGTTGGGCCGGCCCATTGCTCAGGTTTTCTCCAAAATGGCCGAGATGCGAGGGCGGCGGACGGCGTGGGTAGTTAAAGTGGCCTGGCTGGAGTGGTCGCGGGGCATACGCGCCAATGGTCTGGCGCAGCAGAGTGGCAGCGTCCATGTCTATTGGAGTCTCGATGTTACGAATATGGAATGGGGAGGACGGACGACGGGAGATTAGAGCGGGCGCGACGACGATGTGCCCAGGCACCTCGCTGGGGTAACGTGCTGCCCGGCGGCGGTGTTTGGGTGGTTGTCCGTGGCAGCTCAGGCTAGGAGAATGATAATGCGAATGCGTTGGAACAGCCTGGACATGGTCGAGAGAATTGACACTGGACGGTGATACCCCTACCTTAGAAAGATCAAAGTTCAAAGTCTGGGTTGGAGAAGCACTGGCGGGCCTGCCGCTGCCTACGTTCCAGGTTCCCTCGCGGGCATCCTTTTGGACAGGGCAGGCAGTCCTCCTCCCGATTCGCCGGCACACACAGCCCCTGTCCACCTCGCCGTAGGTCTCCATTGAACCTAACCCAGCTGACCAAAGGTCAACATGATCAACATCCAATTCTGCCCGGACAAGGTCAGAATGCGCGCCACTAGCTAATTGTGTTCCAAGTTACCTTGTACCTAAACAACATAACCACCCCTCGTATATCCCACGCCATCACCACCACCGTGGCTTACCTAAAGTAGGTGAGGCTTGAGGCTTGAGCAGCGACCTTGCTCAGCTGACTGTGGACTCGGAACGGCACTCGGGCACTGGCAGGCAGGGATTCAGGGATCCGGGAAAGGTGGGGTTGTTCCAGCAGGTGTACCCCGCCATCAGAGCGTCCACCCGCACCAGACAGCAGCACCAGTCACCCAGTCACGCCAATCTACCATTTCAGATCTGGTCTCATGAGATGGCAAATGCAAGATGCGGGCAGTTGCTGATCCTACTAGGCAAAAGTTCTGGAAGCCTTCCACGGACTTTGATCCGTCAGATTTTGAAGTCTCCACTACGGTCCAGCGCAGTAACGCGATGTGGGGTTTCAGCCTTGGCGACAGGTTCCTTTCAAACCCCGCCAAGCCGGTTCAGCCCCTGATCTGTTCAGTTGACACTTGACAGCCGTCTGATATCGTGGCTGAACGCCTCACTTCACCTGTATTGCGCCGGGCACGCCACATTTGGGGGCCAAATCGAAACAGCTGGTGGAAGAGGTCATAGATAGCAAATCCGGATGGCAAGTACTCCTTGATCAGTCTTCTTCCCGTCCTCCATCGCCTTTTGCTGGAGGTACCTCAGATACCTTATCTACCCAGCAGGACACGGCTAGGAAAGAAAAAATCCGAACAAGGGGCGGATATCCATCCAGCCCGCCTTGCCTCGCTCGCTACCCCACTTCCCGTGCTCTTCACACCCAGCTGTCCCGCATCAAAGACAGTCAGTCCCCAATCCATCTCATTCTCACTCGACATCAGAGACGCGCCTCTCACAAGGGCTGATCCACAGCGTAGCAGCACCGGCCCCGGACGAGAAGCCAAAGTCACCACAGACAGCTGCTTTCAACCTCAACCACACCGTCTAGGTGGGCGCACCACAGCCAGGGAGTTGACCCTGAGCTCCACTCCCTTCAACAAGACCCCACACAATGCGTACCCGGTCCAGCTTCTCCCACAACCCTCACCTTCGCGTGTCTCGGCCCGTGTCTGCCTGTTCAAGATGTGAGAAGCCTCTTTCCATGCTGATCCAGAGCATCGTTGTTGACTCCAGCCTCGTGTATAACAACAGGTCGGGTAGCTAAAGTCAAGGTGAGTTGCCCCCCCCCCCAACTCCTTCATGTATCCCCACGTCACAGCCTCCCCTGACTGACCCCTGAGCCAGTGTGATGGCAAGTTGCCGGCCTGTACCGCCTGTGAGAAGGCTGGTCGTGAGAATGAATGCTCGGCGGCCAGTGACCAACAGTTTGCTCGCGGCAAGGAGCGGAGCTGGGTTGCTGCCCTCGAGGCAAGGGTGGAAAAGCTTGATCGCAGACTGAACCATGCCCGGTCACGGAAGGCATCTGTGGCTCTGCATGAAGTCGATGATAACACCATGACGATGCAGGATTCCGAACGGAGGGACTCGCTGGTCGACATCACCGCTGCCATACATCGTAAAGCTGCCCGGACTCGCGAAAAAGCAGACTTCAACACATTGGTATCCGATTTTGGCCTGTTGACTGTCAATGCCACTACTCCCGGCTTCGACACTCAACAAGAGTCGGCGAACCCTATGAGCTTTGCCCGTCTCGTTCTGGCCGCCGCACAACATGACACATTGCCCGACCCAAACACTGACGAACTTCCGTATCAGGAAGTGGCCGAGGCCAATTTCCAATTTTACCAAGACAATATCCTGCCTCTCTATCCCCTGTTCCCAACCGCAGACTTGAAAGCTCTCGTTCCCAAGATTTACGACGACGCAGACCTCGGCATCCTGGGCGGCATAAGGTCTTCTGAATACTGGCTCTTTTGGATGGTCATGGCCATCGCTTCTGCCGCCCAGAGCAAGGCTGTGAACGACAGAAACTACTATGATGCCCTGCAGTATGTGGCTCGCGCTCTACCCTACGCCGATCGCGCCTTTGTTCCCGGATACACCACTCAAATACAGGCTCTCGTGCTTCTCACGCAGTACTCCATGCTCGACCCAGCTCACTTTGACAGCTGGCACCTCATAGGCTTTGCCTGCCGGGCCTGTATCGACCTGGGCTTCCACAAAGACCACACTTTCACACAGCAGTCGAGCAAAGACACAATAGATGCGCGCCGACGTACTTTTTATTGTGTATATGCTCTGGATAGGTTCGTCTCAGTCCATCAACCATCGAGTCATGAACTTCTGCTGACACACATTTCAGAGCAATCAGCATGGTCCACGCTCGCCCCTTTTCCTTCAAGGATGACGACATATCCGTGCGGCTCCCGAGTCCATCTGTGGACAATGAAAGGTCAGATCCGTCTCTTCCTCTGTTCGAGCTTCGAAGACTGCAGTCGGGTTGGTACCAGACCTTGGTACAAACCGACTCAAACGACCCTCTTCGGGATCCCGTCCAGTACGTGTGGCAGAAATATCACGAGACGCAGAGATGGTCAAAGGAGCTCACATTGGACCTTCCGGCCACAATTCGCACCGCGTTTGATCTGGAACTCGATTACAGCTCTGTTTATCTGGTCGTTCCTAGTCCGCGCACACCCAAACTTACCGACCATGGGCGCCTGCTGATCTTTGAACACACCATACGTTACCTTTACAGGATGTACGAGGTTGTCAAGGCCAGCCCGAGCGAGGGCTTCTACACCTATCATGATGCCCTCAAAGTTTTCTTCATGGGCTCGCAACTGGTCACAGTGCTGCGGGACCCAGGCGAAAGTGACTTATGGCAATCTCTGGGAGCCACCAAACCGCCGCAACAAAACCCCCCCCTTCCTGAACGATTGGACAAGGATCTTTCTGATGCTATCGCGCGGAGCAACTCTTGTCTCGACAAGGTCAATGAGACACTCAAGCTGTATGGAGAAAGATGGGAGCAGGTGAAGACCTTGGCAGACCATTTTGACAGGACAACAACCGACATCAAGTCTTATCTTGAGACGAGACGAGATATGGTGGAAAGTGCCATTGCACGAAATATGCAGAAGGACGGCCGTCATGCCCTGCCGACGTCACGCCCTGGTACAAATCCCTCCACGCTTGCTTACCAGTCGGCGCCCATGACGCAACACTCATCACAACGAGCAAACCAGGGAGCCCCGTGGGGGAATTCTACAGGCTTCCAAGGACACCATAACGTACACTTTTGATTGGGTGTTCAGGGACACGATCCAGATGACGGGTATCTGGGCGGTTGCGTGGGAGCATAAGGGGGTTTCATCAGGACTGCGTGGAGTATCCGAAGCGATCATTGGTTCGGGAAGAAGAATATACCCTTTTCAGTAAAGTCTCAATAAATGTACTTTTCACGTCAGCTTGCTTCCCCCTGCTTTGTCTGAACCGTGGCCCGAAAACGTCGGCATCAGTTCAACGACCGGCAGCAAAGGGAAGTCCAAGCAACGGGTCCCAGCGGGCCACAGAACTCGGCATGCAGCCGCCAATAGATTCGGCCACGAAGGCCAGCTGCATCAAGGCCCGGCTGACAACGTCGGGAGGGTTCCTACAGCCGAAGTCGGCATCAACACTAGACATGGCGACAGGCTTCGTCGGAGTATAAGAACGGCTGCGTGTCCGACCAGCGCCTTCGGTCCCGGAAGACTTGCAAAGTTGGCGGACCCTGGCTGTATACTCATCTCTCTTCGGCAAGGGGCCGCTTTCCATCCATCGATCCGGGCGTTGTCCAATTAACAACCAGCAACGCTTGATGCTATTTGAAGTCATCTGCCGCTGTGGTACACAAGAGCCAGGTTCATATATACATGCCTTGCTTTCCGCATGCCATGAAATGCATCCCCGTCCTTTTGCCTTCACCGTGTGGGTGAAGACGACCTACTGACAGCCAGCACAGAGCACACTCTCCGAGTTACACAAACTGCAACAAAAACGCCTTGGCCATCAAGAATGGCGACTACACAGACAGAAACGCGGTTTTCCAGCCTATTGTCAAGAGAGAAGGCAACTACAGACGAACAGCCGGTCCACCTCTCCTTGTGTGGAATCGAGGTGCCTAGTGTCGGCCCTGATCGTGGAGCGACCGATGACGACATCTGGAGAACAGCCGAGGGAAGGGTTGCAGGTACACCTCATCCCAAGGACGACGCTCGCAAGATTGTCGGACACATCAAAAACCGTCTCAACGGCTCGAGCCCGTCTGGAAGCAGCAGCCGTCTGCTCAAACTAGCAGACGACATCACCACCGACATCACAGATGCCACCTCCGGCAGCGAGCCGGCGCGCCTGAAAGTGGCCACAGCAGCGCTCGAACTGGCAGCCGCTGTCCGCCCTCCGTCCGATGCCATCATGTCCCTCTTTGCCAACATGTCTGTCGTCTCCGCCGTCAGACTGTTCCAGCACTGGGGTGTGTTTGACATGCTCCCCACATCACCCCCAACCCAAGGGACTGCCTGCTGCGATATCGCCAGACAGATCAATGCGGAAGAAGGGATAGTCTGTGGGTTTCATCCCCTCTCCCCCCTTTTGTTCTTGATAGAACCGGGGCTAATGACCGAAACAGCAAGGATATCAACCATGCTCACCTCCTCCCGCATTCTCTCTCTTACACACAACGGAGAGCTCTGTCACACACCAACCTCGTTGTTGCTGCGATCGTCGGAGCCGATGGCGGCCATGTTTGACTTGATGTACACCAATATCGTGCGGGTGTCTGACATTTTGCCTTGTTACTTTGACACCTACGGGAAAAAGGAACCGGTGGGGCCGGGCCATGTCCCTGTTACGGTGTTGACGGGGGAGGCGGAGTTGGGGTACTTTGAGAGTGTGGCTAAGGACGAGGAGAGGATGAGGGGTTTCACAAGGGCGATGGGGGTTGCGTCGGGGAGGGTGCCGGTGACGGGAGTTTATCCTCTTGGGAAGATGCTGGATGGTGTGGAGGAGGAGGACGATGGGAGGGTGATGTGGGTGGATGTTGGTGGGGGTGGGGGGCATGTGTTGAGGCGGTTCAGGGAGGGTTGTGCCGGTTTGAGGGATAGGAGATGCGTGGTGGTTGATTTGGCGGGAGTGGTTGATCAGGGGAGGATGGAGGCGAAAGGGGATGAGCTGATGATGGCGGTGGAGTGGGTGGAGGGGGATTTCATGAGGGAGATGACGGTGAAAGGTTTGTGGCTTTACTTGAAGGGGGTGGGATTTGACGAGGCTGACATGAAAGAAAACAGGGGCAAGGTTTTATTACCTGAGGCATATTCTACGGGACTATTCGGATCCAATAGCAACGCTGATCTTGAGGAATGTGGCACGGGCGATGGGCCGGGATAGTAGGATTTTGGTTTCCGAGCAGATCAACCCTGATGGTGGTGGTACGACGGGGAGACCGATGCCCCTGTATGCTGCCTTCAAGGACTACTCTATGCTTGCTATTGGTGGGAAGGAGAGGTCGTTGACTCAGTTTGAGAGAATTGGGAAGGAGGCTGGGCTGAGGGTTGAGGCGGTGTATAGGGATAGTAAGGGGACTGGACATGGGGTGGTTGAGTTTGTTTTGGAGGGGTAGAGATATAATGTGCGTAATTTTTGGATAAAGATCTTTTACTTGCTGACCTAGTGATGTATCAGTCACAAACCTGATTGATGTTGTCATAAGGACTCGGTAACACAACACCTGCGTCGAACCAAAGATTATCTATCGACTTCGCTACCAACACTTTCCAGGTACGGGTGTAATGGTCACTTTTCTTCACATCTTAATCATGGTAAGCTTGTTTGATTCTCTTCGCAGCATTCAGGCAAAGCGGATTGTTAGTTTCCCCGCCTGATGGTCTGAGGTTTTGAGTCTTGGTCAAAAGATCGACAGGATGTCCCACGTATTTCGGTGAGAGCTCGACTCAAAATGGAAGGTCTCTGGATACTTACAATGGACTCCGAATCAGTCATGATCAGGATGAGCATAAATGCAAACAGGCTCCCTCTTACATTGATCATGTTATCAAACCATCGCCAAGCAGTTTTTAACCTCCCGTCCTTCACAGGCCAGCTCATACATTCAATCATCATACAACAACAGCCACCATGAAACTCTCAACACTTCTTCTCACCACCGTCATGGCTCTAGCCACCGCCCTCCCCAGCCCGTCTGAGGCTTCTACAGAAGCTATTCGGAATGCCGAGGCGGATGCCACCTCTGCGAGTCCCGAAGAACTCGAGGCTCTGGGTATAACCCAATGGTAAGTTACATCTTGAATCGTCTCAACTCGCTCATCACTTCAGAAACTAAGCAAGACAACAGGCAAGCAGCAGGAGGGATGCAAACGCGGCTGAAATAGTTCGACATGTCTGCAGACGTGCAGGAACGAGGCAGATGCCGGCCGGTGCCCGAACCGAAAGGCTGTACTCCTCAGCATCAGTGATGATGGGTGTTTTTTTGGCTGGACTACTTGTAATTGCACTTGCGAGAACTGATCTTGAGTTTTATGGAAGTGATGGGCAGTATTGATTGTATTTGGCAAAGAGTTATCCAACATTTCTCTTGTCAATTTATCTGATGGAGGTAGTTTGCTTGAAAATTGAAGTAGTTTCAACTTTGCTCTCTGTGTTAAATTCGCGGGATTCTGAGTCTCCAGTTTGTCTTGGGTCTTTGAAAGTGAGTCGATAAGGCAAGGCAGGTAGGTAGGTAGTCAGTAATCCCCGTCTACAGACGGAAGTTTTTTATTCTTGGGATAGATAAAGACAAAACAAGCTCAACAGAGTTTGACTCGAGTGGAATCTCCAAGCCATCTCCCAAGCCATGTGACAACGGCACAAACTGCAAAAACAGAACCAACCAAGTGTCCCAAGCGATGCCAATGTTCCTCCTCCCCGCCCCGTCTTTTCCCCAGGTCCCCCGAGTCCGGGCAGGCCGCGTCTTGGTTTTCTTCGTCTCTCGTCTCGTCCCGTGTTTCCCTTCGGGCTGTCCTGCATTCGGCGCATTGTGCAGCGGAGAGTTTTGCCCCGTCGAAGAAGCGATGCGCAAGCTCCTTGGCTTCCCGAGGGAAAGGGTTGTTTCGCCAAGCAGATCCGAAAGAGTCGTCCGATGTCAGCTGATGGCTTTCTCCACATCCGGGGCTGCTTGCTCCTTGGTGTTGCTTTGGGGCTGGAGGCCGAAGAGGAGCGTCGACACCTCGCGGAGAAACTGTTTTGAGATTGATCGACAACGGAGATAAGCACTCCTTCTTCACGAGATGAGTTTTTGTGTTATTTTAAGAACAAAACAGGCCTAATCAAACTTGGTTATCAATTACCTATCCCTTTGCTGCGGGTTATCATCCAAACAAAGAAAGACTGACACTGAGCCGCGCCTGACCAGAGATATTCCTTCATACACATCACAAGCTTGATTGTGCTCCCCGTCGGCTCACCTTTTCTTCTTGTTAACTTTTTCCTATCCCCTTTTCCTCCCCTTTAGCGCCCTACCCCCCACTCACTCACACTCAACCGAAAAAAGCTGCTCTGCCAAGTTGTCTTCACGCCATGTAACCCTCAACCGTTTTCTTCAGTCCCACTCTTCCTCTCCTTTTTACTATTCTGGAGCCAGGCAAGACGGGATTTCCTCCCATTTGACGGCAGACTCTGGCTGGGGCAGAAGAGTCAGCCTTAAAAGACAAGGAGGCTGAATACACCTGACAGGCATATGCATTACATCTAGGTAGTTCCTCTCACCGCTTATCAACAATTTCACATGGCGTGGGGCTCCTCGTGCAGCCATGCCGGACGCTCAAATGTTTGTGCATGGAGCGATGCTCGCCTCGGGGGCAACTTGGCAGGCGGCAAGGCCCCGGCCATGGACAGGTCATCGTCAGTCTCTTCGCTGCCGCCGGGTGCTGAATGGCTGCCACGCCGTGATGCTGATCCTGGCCGGGGTGGTCGGTGGCTACGGTGGGTGGCCTTTTGCTTCTGGTTGTCGAGGTCTTCGTATTCTTCGACTTCTCGTCTTGTCATGGAGGTGTTGGGTCTGGAGATGTCCCGGGTTAGAGAATCCGAATCCCCGCGGGCGTCAAGAGAGTGCCTTGTGCGGCGGTTGCGCTGCGGTGGGTGTGGATTGTCTTGCTTTGGCTGCTTCTGTTGACGTTGCTGTGGAGCTTGTCCTGGCCCCTTTGACGAGGTGGGCGTACTACTGCTGGCGACGACAGGGTTTACAGTCCTCGTCACATTTGGTAGCGGTGTAGTGTCGTAGTAGGTGTCATTGATCTGGAAGGCTGCCGGTGCGTTGTCAGAGTTGCTGGCCATTGAGCTTCGGCGGCTCCGGCTCTGTTGCCGATGGCTCGATGCGACAGAGCGGATGGAGGCTGGGCGGCTGAGTGAAGGTGTGGTGTTGTGTACGTGGGTGGGAAAGTACGGGGGCCGATGACGACTGTTGCTCCTGGACAGCCCGTCTCCTCCCCAAAGCGATTCGTTGTCGTAGTGAAAGGAGTGACGGATGGGATTCCAGGAAGAATTGGTGTCGACACGTTTGAGGTCGTAGCCATCAGCGGAGCTGCGTGTCCGACTTGACGCGCTCCTCTCGAGACCCTTGGTTGAGCTGGGGTGATATGTCTGGAGCGGCTTGGGCACATCAGGAGCGGTGCTGGGTCTGCCTCCCTGACTTTCGGCATCAGAATTGGTACCATTCGAGCCTCGTTTTGCCCTTAGGCGGGCACGGCAGTGGCGGACGATGCTGACGACGGTGATGATGGGCACCCATCCGAAGCATACCGAGCAGGCAATGACTACGATGAGGATGGTAGGGTCCCCATTCCACTCATATCCCATCTTGCATTGTCTCTGGCTGTCGTGCTGGTGCTGCGAGGTGCCGTGATATCGGGACCTGAGCAAAAGAGAACAGAAGCATAATGCCCCAGCAGAAACGACAGCCCCAATGTGCAGACATCATCAGCTCATCATTTCCTCGTATTGGGCGTGCTAAGGTTCACCATGTCCGGTGAGGAAAGGGAAGGTTTACGCTTGCATGGTGAGGTCCGAAGATGCAGATGGCATTTCGGGGCCTACAACCTGGAAGTAAATCATTCGAGGTCTCGATCGAAGGTGGTTCAGTTCTCTTGTTGCCCAAAAGTGGCTGAGTGCAAGTATCCCATCCCATCCCATCACATCCCATCACATCCCATCACATCCCATCCCATGCTGTCCGTGATGGATCGATCTTGAAGTCGGAGTGGAGTAGTCAACAAACAGGTCGGGCGGTGTTGGGTTGTCTCCGGAATTGCCAGCCGTTGAACACCAACAAAAGATGGGACGAGGTCCTTCAAGATGCCAAGCATCCCCACCTGCGATCGTGCCAAGGGCGGCCCTAGATCCGCTTCGACAACCCACCTCCCAGTTTGTGTGGGGAAGCCGCCTTTCCTGATCTGGCGGCTCGGCGTTCTCGACAGAGACCAAGCTCCCGGACAGCATGACGGCTGGTAATATAGCCAAATTGCAAAACACTGCTGTTTCCCGGTTTTGCTGTGCCCGCCAGCACCGTGTGTTAATTTACATTGTTGAGCCTCAGCCTGGATTCGACCACTGTCTTCTATTTTGAGCAGCTCTCACATGTCCATTTAAGACGGAACACGCCGGCACCACTGATGACGCTGGTGACCGGTCACCCGGTTGACGGCCACATGGAATCCGGGTTCTCGGGTTGTCGGGCCTCGACATGCACACTGAAGCCAATCTCACGAACCATGCAAGCTCACAGGGGAGCAGAAAAATAAAACGGGTGCTAAGAATGTGGGGAAGTCTTGGAAAAACCGGGGTCACAGGCATTCCCCAGAACGAGCCGCCCTCTTCGACTCTTTGCCAGACACACGTGTTGTAGTACATCAGGCGCAGTACGTACTCCATACCTTGCTGCGCGCGGCAACTCGGATCGCAAAATGTTGAAGCTGTTCGACCATGTTCCCTGGACACACACAACGGTCACCAGGATGGAGACAGGTTGCATTCGGCGGATGCCCTCCGTGATGTCCTGGACAAGCTCCCAAGCCCGCTCCAATGAGCGGCAGTTGCCCCCTGTCGTCCCATCCAGCAGCCTCAATCTGATCCATCGCCCGTCGTCCTCGGCTCCACGATTCCCTCGTCTGTGCTTCGGCCAGTCTCCAACCGCCCCGGTCGTCAAGTCACATCGTCATCCTTGGTTGCGGTGACGCTTCACCCTTTGGGTCTGTCGCCGCCGGACCACCAGTGTGCGCGTTCCCATCGTGGAGATGTCTTCCTCCCAGTCGACCCCGCGCCAGCGCTTGCCTCTCCCATAGTCCAGGACCGGTGCATGATCCAGGGTCCTCGCTCGAGCCTTGACGGCCCGGGAGCCGTTTCCCATGAGGCGACCAGCGATGCCATCCCCTTGTGGCAACCTCAGCTGCATGGAGGAAAGGGTGCCGTGAATCCGCAGTGTCGCTGATCTCGCCGTGGCAGCACCATGAAGCAAAGGAAATTGGGCCGACAGGGTGGTCCAAGGGCGGAAGGGGTGTCGAACACATCTCTATATAAGTCGGCTTCCCAAGGCCTCACGAACCCATCTGGATCTCACCACCCTCGACATCAAGCACGCCTTGCATCTACAGGTCCCAGTCAACCCTCCAGATCGCCATAATGGTTTCCGCAAAGTTCGCCGCTCTCGCTGCCCTTGTGGCCTCTGCCTCTGCTCAGCAGGTGTGCTCGCTCACTCCCGAGTCTCACCCCCCTCTGACCTGGCAAAGATGCTCGGCTGGTGGCTCCTGCACCAACGTCGCCGGCTCCGTCACCCTCGACTCCAACTGGCGCTGGACTCACACCCTCCAGGGCAGCACCAACTGCTACTCTGGCAACGAGTGGGATACCTCCATCTGCACCACCGGTACCAAGTGCGCTCAGAACTGCTGCGTTGAGGGTGCCGAGTATGCTGCGACCTATGGCATCACCACCAGCGGTAACCAGCTGAACCTTAAGTTCGTCACCGAGGGCAAGTACTCGACCAACGTTGGCTCGCGTACCTACCTCATGGAGAACGCCACCAAGTACCAGGGTAAGCTTCTTTTTTTCTTCTTCTTCTTCCACAGTGACACCCGCGTCGATCATCTTGGCTGACGACCCCTGACAGGCTTCAACCTCCTCGGCAACGAGTTCACCTTCGATGTCGATGTCTCCAACATTGGCTGCGGTCTCAACGGTGCCCTCTACTTCGTCTCCATGGACCTTGACGGCGGTCTTGCCAAGTACTCTGGCAACAAGGCTGGTGCCAAGTACGGCACCGGTTACTGCGATGCCCAGTGCCCCCGTGACATCAAGTTCATCAACGGTGAGGCCAACATCGAGGGATGGAACCCCTCCACCAACGATGTCAACGCCGGTGCCGGCCGCTACGGTACTTGCTGCTCCGAGATGGACATCTGGGAGGCCAACAACATGGCCACTGCCTACACTCCTCACTCCTGCACCATCCTCGACCAGAGCAGGTGCGAGGGCGAGTCTTGCGGTGGCACTTACAGCTCTGACCGCTATGGCGGTGTTTGCGATCCCGACGGATGCGACTTCAACTCGTACCGCATGGGCAACAAGGAGTTCTACGGCAAGGGCAAGACCGTCGACACCACCAAGAAGATGACCGTCGTCACCCAGTTCCTCAAGAACGCCGCCGGCGAGCTCTCCGAGATCAAGCGCTTCTACGTCCAGAACGGTGTCGTCATCCCCAACTCGGTCTCCAGCATCCCCGGCGTTCCCAACCAGAACTCCATCACCCAGGACTGGTGCGACGCCCAGAAGATCGCCTTCGGCGACCCGGATGACAACACCGCCAAGGGCGGTCTCCGCCAGATGGGTCTTGCCCTCGACAAGCCCATGGTCCTCGTCATGTCCATCTGGAACGACCACGCCGCCCACATGCTCTGGCTCGACTCCACCTACCCCGTCGACGCCGCCGGCCGCCCCGGTGCCGAGCGCGGTGCCTGCCCCACCACCTCGGGTGTCCCCTCCGAGGTCGAGGCCGAGGCCCCCAACTCCAACGTTGCCTTCTCCAACATCAAGTTCGGCCCCATCGGCTCGACCTTCAACAGCGGCAGCACCAACCCCAACCCCATCTCCTCCTCCACCGCCACCACCCCCACCTCGACCCGCGTCAGCAGCACCTCGACCGCCGCCCAGACTCCCACCAGCGCCCCTGGTGGCACCGTCCCCCGCTGGGGCCAGTGCGGCGGCCAGGGCTACACCGGCCCTACCCAGTGCGTTGCCCCCTACACCTGCGTCGTCAGCAACCAGTGGTACAGCCAGTGCCTCTAAGCGCGTGTGGAAACACACGTCTCTGGTGGGGCCAGCGCGGTTGACTGTGGTGGTGGTGTCGTGAGCATGAATTGTACATAGTTACTTGTTTCGAAACTTGCATCTGGATTGGGGACAACAGTACATATTGCTTTTTTTCCTTTTTCCTTCGCTTCAGCCGTATATAAATTGATGCATAGCTTTTTTGACCTTACGCCACTGTTCTTTGTTGATGATGCTTGTGACTTGTGACCTGCACTTGAAATGAAACCAAACGTCTCGTTTGAGCTGGGAAAGATATTTGAACGCTTGTTAGAACCTGGGGGGTGCGATGTGTGTGTGTGTGTGTGTGAGAGAGAGAGAGAGCGAGAGAGAGAGAGCAGGTGGGCAGGGAGACATGTCTGCCTGTACTCCCCAATTGTCTTTGACGTGGGTTTGGAGGAGCTGGTGGAGTTCTCGATATGTGGTGCGTGTGGCTTCAATTTCCACTTTGGCCGCCGGTGTGCGGTCTGTCTGTTGGGTTGGAGGCATCGTGAGGTAGTGGTGCGTCTTGGTTGCTTTGGGTTGTGGGGTGTTGCCGGTCTTCCGAGGCTTGGTGAAATGGTGTTGGGTGTTGGAGGTGTAAGACCACGCGGGGGGGATGGAGGAACCAGAGGAGTATTCAAGGCCGAGTGATCGAGTTTCACAGCTGTTTGGCCTCGTGCCACAGAGCTGGCGGAATGTTGATGGTCATGCCTTGGATAGGTATCGGGTGGTCCTGCCATGTTTTAGACGTGAGATGGCGATATCAGGATTTAATTAATTATCAGATGGCCATATTCTGGAGTCTGACTAATGTTGTTCTCCTGATGTCCAGTAGAAAGTTTAGACAATACCTCTCCACAACTCCATCCATCATAAAGCTTATACCTATCATTAGATGTTAGATGGTTATGCTGTTCTTCAAATATTGAATTGATATGGCTTGGCGGACCTTGTGAAATTTAGTATGAAGTGCAGAGATCTAGTTGATAAACTGTTCCCTCAAAGCTGATCAATAAGCGTCGAAATATGGTGGATAGGCATTAACACATGGCGACAAGTTGTTGACTAAGGGTTACTAGGCCTTCAGGAAATTGAGTACAACGAAAGATGTCAGAGCCCGGCCTGGGACCTCTCTCGCCAACTCGGCTGGCTCTTTTCCATAGAAAGAAACCCAAAGAAAAGAAAAAGTGTCTCGTTTCCATCTTTCAAAGCATAAAACTGACACAGGGATGGAGCTCTGCAGTCTCTCCCGTCCTGAGCCCAGTATCAGACAGGCAGCCGACCTGATGGATCCACAAAGGACCTGTGGAAAAGAGCGTCGCTGCAAAACGCCCGGAGAACTAGCATTGCATCTTGGGCAGGAGCTTCCCTCCTTCCGCTGCCCGTGGCCATGTTCAGAGAACAGCGGACAAGAGAACAGCGGACAAGAGACAGACCGAGTCCGGCTCCGGCTCAAAGGTGTACTAACCATCTCTAAAAACCTATCAACCATGTTCAAGGGTCTATTGACTATCCTAGAGGGCCTATTACTAATTTTCAAACACCTATATACTACACTGTTCAGCTGAAGCCAGCTAGCTATCCTTAAAGGCACCTGTGCTAAGAGGCAGTCTTTATCTTTGTCTACGCCTGTCATACGTGACATACTCATCAGGGTAATTGCATTAGTTTGGGCACGAGAAGTGTGTAGAGTGAGATCTATGCAGCTCAGACTAGTCAGATCCATGAGTCTCGGCAGATTGCAAGCTGCAGTTATTTGATCCGTACTCGATGTTTCTGTCTCACTGAAAACACCACACGCCCCCTCGGTAGCTAAACCCATGACACAACCCGAAACAAGTTTGGTAACGTGCCACAAAAGTGCTTTTGAACTTACGACACCTGGTCGACTCCGGAATGATCATGGAGGCATGTAGAAGGGTGGCAAGATTCAGTTGTTCAGCCTATTCCTGGAAGGCAAAGCCAAGGTAGACTTTGCAAGAGTCCAACTAACTATAAAGGTACGGGTACCTACTCATGTGCTCTCAGTTGGACTCCTCAACCAGCGACCTTGCTACTAACCTCCATGCTCTTCAAGATCTTGATATTGCTTCTCGGCGGCGGGTGCTGGTGCAGCAGGCACCCACCAACTGTTTACCACCCACGATCCAGACAAATTTCCCGACAGCCCTACAAAACAAAACAAGCAAGTCAGAATGACCGACCCGTCCCACCACTACAGCAACAACGACGCCCTTTACCTCTACGGCGACCGACCAGAAAATTACAGCGACCGTGTGACCCAGGAGAGAGATCCTGTGGAAAGAGAAATAGTCGAGCTGGACCGTGAGATTGCCCACGAGGTGCGGAAAAAGTTCACCGATCAAGCGAGGCAGAGGCAAGCAGCCCATGAAAGGGACAAGGCCGAACAAGCTCGGGCTTCCAACCACAAGGCACCAATCCCGTACTCCCCAGCTTCTTACACGCACACTTCCTACTACAGGTACCCAACTACCACCAGTTGTCCTCCTGCTCCATCCTCTCATCCAGCTGGGTATTCTACCACATCGAGCGCGTTCTCGCCTACAACAACGCTGTCCTCAGCCGTGTACGCAAACACTGCTCAGTATGCTCAGACTTTGTATTCACAAAACTCTCAATAACCCCCCTGCAGGCTACCCAGCAACGACGCAGGCAGCCAACGCTCAGGCCTATTACCCACAACGATACGGGAGCCAGCAACAGGGGCAGGGGCAGTGGCATCAGTCATATCAAAGTCAGTCCCAGTACAAAGGCTGCCGAATATCTCTGGAACATATGAGAGTAGACGCATAAGAGTATAGAAAGGATTAGTAATCAGTAAGGAGGAGAGGCCAAGTCATGTTGTTATTGTTGTTGTTAAGGCTGAGGTCTGGTACCTACCTTTATACGTCATATGTACAGTAGAGGAAACGCAAAGTTCAAGCTTGGCTAGAGATAGAGTAAAGGTTGATAGACTGAGCTGGCATCCATGTTCCATTGCGTTAATCGTTTGTGTTTTCATTGGATGTCTTAGCGAGGCGACGTCACACAGTCACATAATCCATCCAGACAGATTATACGCTAAAACGCTTCTATTGTGTCTTTATAGAGTGGAGTTATATATCTTCTATCTTGCCATAGGCAACCAGCAGCCGCCTCTTTTCCGGGCTCGCGTCCATCCCAACCCATCAATTAGATCCCTCTCTCCCATGAAAAAAAAAATGTGAAACCCACCATCCATAAGACCGAGCCTCGCTAGCAAAAACGCCGGGGCCCCCGGTCATGATATCTATCCCAGAAAAGGACCCTTGAACGCCGCCCGCTTCCCATGATGAGAAAGAAAGATAAAACAAATGCTTTTGCTCCCATGTTGAGTCTTTGCCCGTTGTTTTCCCCAATGATCCTTGAGATAAACACCCCCCTTTTTAAATCCGAGTCCATTCCCATTGAACCCATCACATCCCCATCCATCAATCCATAGTTGCACACAGGGGGTATCATGCCAAGAACGCAGAGAAAGCAGAGACAGAGGAAATATTATAAAACATAAGGAAAACCAAAAGGACAGGAACACGCCCAGGCTTACGCAGCGGCGGCGGCAGCCTCGACTGGGGCAGCGTTTCCGCCGCCACCGAGGAGTTCCAGAACCTTGTTGACGACGGCGCTTGGGTATCCGCGGCCGAGCATCTCAGTAACCACCCCCTTGGCGCTCTCGCGCTCCTCAACGGCAAGGAACGCGCGAGTCATGGCCTCGTAAGTGCTAGGTTCCCGCTTGGTGGCGCTGACAGTGGCGTAAATCTCCTTGGCCTTGGCAATGTTCTTCTCGGCTGCCCAGCCATGGATGAGGGTGTTGGCGATATAGGGAGTCATCTCCACACGATTCGACCGCATCATGGCGAGCACAGGCTCGGTCTCGACAACCCGATGGTTCGCAACCATGGCCTCGAAAAGAGCCTGGAATAGACAGGGAACGAGAGGAACCGAAGACTCCTTGACGACTGCGTCAAATACGCGGCGAGCACCCTCGAGATCGTGAAGGACACAGCCGCGGGCGTGGATGAGACTGGCGTAGTGGACGGCTTCGGGCTTCTGACCAGTAGCCTTGATCATCTCGAGGACAGACTCGGCAGCTTCCATGTCTACAGGATCCAAAGTGGCGTGGGTGTCAACGAGGAGCTTGAACGTGTGGGCGGTAGGGGCGATGCCCTTGGCCTTCATGCGCTCAAAGTACTCGAGAACCTTGGACTTGTCTCTCTTGGTCATGAGGAAGAATTGCATCATGCTGTTGTAGGGAGCCGGACGAGCCTTGTAGTTGGGCATGGCCTCCATCTCGTCAAACAGCTGCTCGGCAAACTTCTCATCGCTGACGCGGCAGAGAGCGTTGACAATGGTGCCGTACGTGACAGATGTGGGCTTGATACCGAGCGTCTGCATCTCGCCAAAGTAAAAGAGACAGTCGTCAATGCGACGCGCCTTGCCCAGCTTCCCGATCAAGGCATTGTACAGGAATGAAGTAGGCTCGACTCCCTCGGCCTTGGCGCGGTGGAACACGCGGACAGCTTCGGTGGCCTCGTCGAAGGTCTTGGTGGACTCCTTCAAGGTGGTGATGTAGAGACCAAAGGTGTTGGCCGAAGGGGTAGCACCCATGGCGAGGAGCTCCTGGTGGAACTGCTCGGCCATAGCTCTGTCACCAACAGTCAAGCAGGCACCAACCATGGCGTCCAGAATGGACGACCAACCGTAGCGGACCACTGGGTACTGAGGAAGCAGAGGCACATCCGTCCGGGCCATGGCGAGAATTTCGTGGCAAAGATCGATCTTGCCCTCCCTGGAGGCGGCGGAGATGAGCTTGGCGTAAGTGATGTACCGAGGATGGCGACCAGCACGACGGATGTTGCGGAAACGGTTGAGTGCATCACTCAGCTTGGGACCCTTGCGACCGTGGGCGCCCTCCAACTCATCCGAAATCAATGAAGATCCCTTGAAGTCGGTGTTCTGGGCATAGGGGTCAAAGGATTCCTCATGGTGAGCAACAGCTGGAGTCGATGGGAATGGCGAAGGGGCGAAAGACTGGGAAGGGGCATAAGAGACGGGAGAAGCTTCACGAGGATCCACAATGCCGCGAACGGCCATGAACCTAGAGATGAACTCGGTGGCTTCCTCAATCTCACCTTCGAGCTGAGCAGCGGGAACGGTCTCGCGGATGCGCTGGAACATCCACTCAGACTGAGTCAAACCCTCCATCACCTGCCCGGAACCAATCATGGCCACGGCATACATGGCTGCCGGTTCAACAAAGGACACGGTGAACTTGAAGCCAGAGCCACAGAGGATATCCCAGTACCGAGCTGCCGCACCGAGATCACCGGCGCGGATGCTCATCGCAAGCAAGGCCATGGCGGAAGAAACCATCTCAGAGGAAGGAGAGGCATTGGCAAAGGCGGCAACCGCAGTCAGCTTGTCGCCATTGTCGGCAGCAACCGTGGCAATTTCGTTCATGGCCCGACCTCTAATCTCGCTCTCGATGCTTTGAGCCCATTGAAGAGCTTCCGAGTAGACGCCACGCTTGATGAAGCCCTTGACAAAGCCACCGGCAAGCAGAGCGTCTTTGATCTCTGCAGCAGTTACACCATACTCCTGCAGGATCTTCTTGTAGAACTTCACGGCACCAGGAAGCTTGTCGGAGATGACGTAGGCATTGATGACAGAGGCGTACACCTGAGCATCGGCGCGCTTCAACAACGTCGGCTCGCCATTGTCGTTGGCGATGGCAAGGTTGCGGTACTCGTTGTAGCATTCCACGGCGCTGATCAAATCACCGGACTTGGCGAAAGCTGTGATCATGGCAGGGAAAGTGGCAGCAAAAGGGACAGCTTGGTTGCACTCCATGTACTCAAACATCTCGAGCATATTGGACACGCGACCAGCCTTGGCACACGCTGAGATCATCTGGTGGTAGGTCTCCGAGGTATAACCGGCCTTGTTGGATGAGACAGAGCTCTCGAACAACTTGATGGCAAGGTCAAGACGCTCCTCCTCCCTCAAGATGGCAAGCTCAAGCTCATGAGAGGCAAACATGAACTTGCCGGGCTCATCCATGCCACCAAACCGCACACGCTTCACCTCGAGAGCCTCTTGCAGCGCAGACACCTCGAGCGAACGAGAAGCCAGCAAGCTGACAAGAATGTTGTATGTCTCGCTGTCCAGGGCAACCTTGCGTCTAAGCATATCCGTGTAGATATCCAGAGCCTTGTTCACCACCTCGGACTTGTCTGGTGCCAGCTGGAAAGCGGCAGTAAGCAAGACATTGTAGGCGGCAGCAATGGGCTTGATGCCGGCGACAAGCATGGCCTCGAAGACTGCCGGAATCTCGACATATCGTCCGCCGTCGGCGAGTTTCACGAGGTGGTCGGCGTAGGACTGGGACTGGGGATCGACGGGAGGCGTGCGGACGAGGCTGGCGGGAGTTCGGATATGGGAAACAGGAGTGATGGTTCGCGACCTAATCTCTTCCTCGAGCTTTTCGGCCAGAGCTGGAGACGTGGCGCGGAGGGATTCCACCTCCTCTTCCAACGCATCCAGCTGCTTGCGAACCTCAATCTCCTCGGCGAGACGCGCATCGATGTGGGCAAGGGCGGCCTCGGCCTCGGGGGTGATGGCTGGGGAGGCATCGCGCTTGGTGACTTGGGCGGGGTCGACATCGAGGGCGAGGGTTTTGCTGGCATCGGAACCGAGAAGGATGGAAGCCGGGGTTGGCTTCCACTCGATGCGCTGCTGAAACTGGAACTGAGTCCACTCCTTGTCGGATTCCACCTCTTCCACGGCCCCTTCCTCGGCAACTTGCTGGGTCTTTTGCAATTGCTCAAAGTAAGCATCTAGGCCGCCATTGGTGCTAACAGCCTTGCCCAAACGTTGCGGCTCAACAGGCCCAGCGGCGACGGTCGAGCTGCTGGTGTGGAAAGCAGACTGGAGCCCAAGAGTCGAAAGACGGCGACCGATACGGGCATGGTTGCGGCGCCCAAAGGACGGGCGGTTCTGTGAGTTTAGAACATGAGGGTGGGTGGCAGCAACGACCGACTGGGCGTAACCTTGGGTGATGGACTTGGTAAATCCTTGCCGGATAAAGCTCTGCCAAACAGTCGAACTGAAAGCGGGCATTTAAGAGACACCAGGCGGAGAGGGGTTCTGTTCCCAGACGGAGACGAGGTGTCAGACGCGAATAGCTTCAACCAAAGGTAGCCAAGTCAGGCGTGGCGGGGTCAAGCAATTGACTTACAAGGAGTGAAGGGGTTATGCGCAATTGCAGGTTCATTTGACGACAGTGAAGCCGTCAAACAAACGCGCTGACCTTGGGGGGTGATTGGTATAATGTTGGTGGTGGATGGACGAGAAACGGGAAAAGGGCGAAGGGCTGAGGCGTGGAAGGGAGAGTGACTGCAGCTCAAATATTGTCTTAAAGCACCGGTAGCTGTGATTTTTTTTCCCTCGCCGCGCTGGAGAAGCGAAAGCTAAGCCTGTGCCAGGTCACCGGGGTCCTTAGCCGGGTGGATTCGGAATGGGTGCGCGGGATTAGTCAGAGCGAACCTCGCTCATCAGTCAACGACACAAAACACGGAGATATGTGTATTAATTCTCGGATATACAGACAATTATATCCCTTCTTCTCCATTTTGTTTCTTGAGGAAAATCCCAGCCCCCCATCGTCGTCGATTCATGACACTTGTTTCATAGCATCCATGATGTGGACGTCCACGTAATAACCGTTGCCTTAGGCGGCGTATGGAACACTTCAGAAGAGAACACATCAACCACTAACACACCTTGGTCCATAACCCTTAACCCTAGTATCACATGGGATGGCTGCCTCTACCTATCCTCTGGCATGGCCCGGGCTGTTCTCTGCTCACCGTCTTCCATCATCGTCGGCGGCCGTCTGTCAGTGGACGTCCCGACATGCTGCCCCATGCTCCCCCAGAGCTGCTGGGCGGCCGATGACGAATGGCGGTGGCTTGGCGGAAGGCTCGGACGCGGGTTGAGCGGGGACACTCTGCTCCAGCACGTCAACGAAGACTTCCCGGACCAGATAACCCGGGGTTCATCTCAGATCTTAACTGTTAGTCAAATACCGGTGGTCCCGCCCAATCGCTAACAGTGCCGAGCCCTCGGAGCTCGCACCGCTCCAAACCCCGACAGCTGCAGGAACAGCACTTGACCACTTTGGGTGTTTGAACGTTACCGTTACATGGGTTGAGACATTTCTCGAAAACTTTAGCGTCCACACAAAAAGCAGTGCTTCCTTTTGACGGTGCTCCGGCTTTGGCAATCCACTCTTCACTGTTATCAATCGTTCTTTACGGTTCGAACTGTCTCTATCTAGCATTTGGCATCGGTTGAGACACGATTGCAGTCATTCAACGGGGTATGCCACATCGAAGAGGATACGAGTGCGTGAGATGGCAGTGCACGATATCCAGCTGGAATAGCTCAATCAATCTCTGATCGACGATCGAAAACAGGATGAGTTGCATCTGATAATATCAGGGAATCCAAGGAAAGCCAGCAAACAGTCACATGTGCATGAAAAGCAACCAAAACCAGAGCCAATGATTGGACTGCCATGCCAAAAGTGCCCGGCCCGCCGTTTGCTGAGCCCTTGACCCGCCGCTGCTCCGTCCCGGCTTGTTCCCGACCTGCCTTATCACCGAGCATCCTCGGCCACCGAGTACGGGCCGCGGCCAATCCTGGATCGCATTTCCTAATTGATTATGTATAGTGCACGATTGCATCTACCAGGTAGGTAGTCATGAATCACACTGCAGCATCTGCCATCTATGATCGCCACCGCTATCTTTCTTACTTGAGGGTTCAAGCTCGCTAAAGGGGATAATGTTCAGTCAAAATGGGGTTCAAGTCACAACGTTTGGAAGTCTCATAGCTCTCATTCAAATCTTTGATATACTGTGGGCTTTGGTTTTTTAGAACTTGTTCAACGTGTGGCCAAGAGATGTATAGGACAAGAGATGTATAAGACAAGATATGACAACATGTCGAAACTCACATTGCAGACAAAATGCCTACCCAGTGACATCTTGAACATGTTTTTCAGAGGCATAATATGTTCGAAAACTTGACGTGTCTCTTATAGACCAAGGTACCTTACGTGAACTACGTGCTTTGGCTTTTTTTTTTTTCTCTTCTTACTTTTGAGAACTTCACAAGGCGGAAGGCATAAACTTGTGCCTAGGCTGTCGGGTTACGAGGGTACTCTGTTGAAACGTGAGGCTGGTTCAGATGAACACCTTGAGATTTGTTTCCCCCAATACATCATTAGGTCTGTGTAATCAAGCGGCACCGTCGGTGACAAATTCTGTGTTCTTTGTGGCCGTCAAGGCCGACCTTGGAAGTCAGGGTTAAAGCGCACGATTTCTTTCCAAAACAAAGACAAAAAACAAACCTCAGGGTTGTGCCCCACAACAGCTCGCATAAGTGGGCCCCTGCCTGAACCTACCCCTCCATCATTCAGGGGCTCTCATTCAACCTTCATGAGAGCTCACGCTTGCACTCGTCAACAAACTCACACTTGAAGCTATCGTGAGATTCTTCCTCTCTCACTCACATTCAAAATGCCCGAACACAAGAACTCATCTGTTGTCTCCGCTCCCGGCAAGGTTCTTCTCGCAGGCGGCTACATTGTCCTCGACAGGGACTACTCCGGCCTCGTCTTTGGCCTCAGCGCCCGCATCAACGTCGTCTCTCACCCCATCCAGCCCACCCAGGGCGTTCATCTCACCGAGATTGTCGTCGAAAGTCCGCAGTTTGACGATGACTCCTGGGTGTACGGCTACACCCCTGTGGAAGGTCACGGCGGTGTAAAAGTCACCCAGCTCGACCCGTATGTTCTCCCCCCCCCTTTTTTTTTTGTCACACCTCATCACTAACACCTCCCCCAGCGGCACCAAACCCTTCAAACCCAACCATTTCGTCGAAACAACCCTCAACTACGTCCTCTCCTACATCGTCTCCCTCCCCGCCAAGCAAACCCTCTCCTCCATCCACCCCGCCAAATTCACCATCCTCGCCGACAACGACTATTACTCCACCACCACCACCACCTCCCCTTCCACCCCCCAGCGTCGCTTCCGCCACCTCGGGCAAACAATCTCCAAAGCCAACAAAACCGGCCTCGGCTCCTCCGCCGCCCTGGTAACCTCCCTAACCGGCTGCTTGCTCTCCCACTACCTCCCCCGTTCCCTTTTCGACCTCTCCACCCCCTCAGGCCGGTGCACCCTCCACAACCTCTCCCAAGCAGCCCACTGCGCCGCCCAGGGGAAAATCGGCTCCGGGTTCGACGTCGCCAGCGCCGTCTACGGCAGCTGCGTCTACCGCCGGTTTTCCCCCTCCCTCTTATCCGCCCTCCCACCCCCAGGGACGAGAGGGTTCGGGAGAGCCGTCGTGGAGACGGTCAACTCCCCCGACTGGGATCAAGAAATCAGCAAAGAGGAGACTGATCTTGCCGAGGGGCTGAAGATCAGAATGGTGGATGTCACGGGGGGGACGGCAACGGTCAGCATGGTGAAGCTGGTCAACGCCTGGAGGGAAGGGAACAAGGCCGAGGCGGATGGGTTGTTTGCCGAGCTGGAGGGGGAGGTGAAGGTTTTGGCTGGGGCGCTCAAAGTCGGGGATGGGCAGGCGATAAAAAGGGCAATGGGGGAGGTGAGGAGGTTGATGAAAAGGATGGGGGTGGAGAGCGGGGCCGAGATCGAGCCGGACAGTCAGACCAAGATGCTGGACGAGCTGGAGGGGCTGGAGGGGGTGGTGGGGAGTGTGGTTCCTGGCGCGGGGGGGTATGATGCTGCGGCGTTGGTGATTAGGGATGATGAGGGGACGGTGGGGAGAGTCGAAAGGTTTTTGGGAGAGTATAGTCAGAGGGAAGGGGTGAAGGCGAGGTTGTTGGATGTGTTGGGGGAGGTGGAGGGGGCGAGGTTGGAGAGCTGGGATGGGGGGAGGTGGCAGGAGTTGTGATGTTGCAACAGATGAGCGCTTATATAGAACCGATGATTCAATATCATCATCACACGCCAATCAGATCAAGAGAAAATGCCAACGGAAGGTTGTCAAGCTCCCATTCTGTTTCGACATTTGTCTGCTGTAGTTGCCCAAGCCCATGCCAGCATGAGCACAAACAACACAATGATTAATTTCTTTCGCTATCCTTCCTTTCCACCCTCGCATTGATTTTTAGTTCATCCATTCTTTTGTTTACCCGCTTGCTCGCTTCAAAAAGTTCAAAAAAGACAGCCTTATCCTACAAGCTGAACCATGCCTGCTGCATTATTATTTTTGTCGTCATTGTTTTTGTTTTGCCTCCCCCCCCTGCTAGATCCTGATCGCTCCCCTCTCACTCACACTCCCCTTCGGACTCCCCCTCGGCGTATTCTTCTTGCTCGGCGGACTCAACGGGCTGATCGGGCTGCCAAGCTCAAACTCCCTCTCGAGGTGCTCAAAGTCCAGGTCAAGCGGGAACATGCCGACAGGATCGACATTGTTGTTGACGTGCCCCCTGCTTCTGCTACCCGGTCGTGAATGTGAGTCAAGTTCCAGAGGCAAGATGACATCGTCATCCAAATCACCCAACAACAGGAGAGAGTGATTGCTCTGAGCTGGGAGACCACCACCGGAAGGAATCGGCATCGGCTTCACCTGTTCTGAGCTGGCGTAGTGGCGGAGGTTGCTAGGGTAGGGAATTCTGGCCATCGATTCGGAACGGGAGATGGTGCCTGAGCGGGCGGAGGAGCTGCGCATCGATGACCCAGCTCTGGAGGAGGAACGGCCAGGGCCCGAGGTGTGGAGGTTGGTGATGATGGGAGGAGGCGACGGTGGCAGGACGCCTGTGACGTTGGGGTTGGGAGTGCTGGAGTTGGAGGATGAACTCGGAGCAGACACAGAGTAGGTCGGTATTGATGGTGGTGAGTCGGCGTGGATTCCTAGTCTGGTGGCTGCGGCCTTCTCACGGAGGACCAGAATCCTGAAAGTGATGTTAGCAATGGAAGCGAAAGATTGGACTGATGAAGAGGGAGCATACTCTTCTGGCGTGAGACCTGGTAGCGTGACTGGGATCTGTTCAAAATTGTATGGTGCTGACTGTGTTCTCTGTTAGTAAATGATGCGATGAGTGGATGACGAATGATACTCACAATCACCAACGGGCGTTTTGAGCCCCCTCTACCATTTCTCCTGAGTGCCCCTTTCCGAGAGGTGATCATCTCCTGAAAAGAGGTGTATAACCTCTTCATTTCCGAACAGAGATACATTTTCCTGAGATAAATATCCAACGATTGCTTTTGGATCAGACAGATAAACGAGACGAATTGCTGAAGTGAAAATGGCGAAAGAGATTAACGTGTGAGGTATACTCGAGTGTTGGAGGAGAAAAGTCTGTGATGTGAAAATCGGACGACAGGTCTCCGAGGAGACAGATTAGATGGTTGGAAGAATAATAATCGGGGACAGAGGTAGGGCCGAGAAGTTCCTGACGGATCCGGAAAGTATTAAGAACAAGAGCGAGGCCGTGTATGATGCGAATTCGAACGAATGACGTGGGAGAACAAGTGAAGCGGAACCGAACCAGTTCCTCGGTAAGCCAGTGAGAAGCGAGTGTGGTGTCTAGAGCAGACAAAGATCAAGAAATACAAAGACAAAGGAGTGTCATGGGGACTGGCAGGTGAGCAAGTATAGAATCCGACAAGGCCGGTGGCAACGTCCAGACAACGAACCTGTGCCGTCTTCGTCAAAGAAAAGAGGCTGGGAAGCGAGAAGAAGCAGAAGACAGCTGGGACAGGCTTATAAAAGAACATGATGCTTCTGCCGCATCGGATCGACCCTGTTCCAAACTGCTGGAACGTGTTCCTGAAAGGCACGTCTCGCAACCAGTTGCCCGTCAGGCAGTGGCGAGATATGCAGGACGAATCACGACTCATGATGGCCCCTCGCAGAGAACTGCAGAGAGGGAGAAGAAGACTGTCTTGGAATTTAGACGGGGGGTTTAAGCGAGAAAGCCTCATGCCGTTTCCGCACCTCCTTTCCCCAGTGATGGAATGCTGACAACAGGTTGGAAATTGTCCCCCGAGACAAGCCGCCAGTTTGTTCTTGCAGAGCCTTGAAGAAATGAATGGAAATCGATTTGCTTTGCCTGCCGCTGAATAATGTCAAATTTTCATGTCTCCGAATGCCTCGTGGACGCGCCGTAGCAATGCCCTTGCTGAAGCCCTCCCTAGAGTGGTTCCGGTTGCCTGCTGCAGATCAAGGGCACCCCCAAACCTCTATTTGGGGTAGTCCTTCAAATGATAGCTCTTCAACTTGACGAATTGATCAAAACCGTATTTGCTCAATGTCTGACCCTTCCCGGAGTTCTTCCATCCAGTCCAGGCCAGGTCCTGCATGTCTCTCAGTCAGTGGCATTCACACCACACGGGGCATTCTGACTTACAGGGCTTGGGAAATCACAACGGTTGACGAAAACGGTTCCCGCTTCAACCTGCTCGCATAGCTCATATCCCTTATCTGTGTCCTTGGTCCATATGCTGGCAGTGAGACCAAACTCGCTGTCGTTCATTAGCTCCACCGCTTCCTCGTCGCTCTTTACCTTCATAACGGGGATCACGGGCCCGAAAGTCTCATCTTTCATGACCTTCATTGTGTGATCGACCTTGGTGAGGAGCGTTGGCACGACAAAGTTGCCCTTGGGAGGAAGGTCCTTGAATGTCTCGTTATCGGGTGTGAGGTTCTCGGCGCCCTTGTCCAACGCGTCTTGAATGTGGGCCTCGATGGTCTCCTTTGACCTTTTTGAAACGACAGGGCCCAGGTGAGTGGCCTTATCCAAGGGGTCTCCCAGCTTGTAGCCCTTCAGAACTTTTTGAATGGCTTCAACAAACTGGTCATGGATCTTCTCGTCCACATACACACGCTCTATTGAGCAGCAGCTCTGACCAGAGTTGAAGACGGCTCCGTCCACGATTTCTTCAGCAGCCCAAGCAATGTCTACATCACCACGGACATAGGCCGGATCCTTTCCACCAAGCTCCAGACAAACATTGACCACCCTGTCCGAGGCGGCGCTCTGGACAGCAAGACCACCGGCGACTGACCCAGTAAAGCAGACGAGCGCGATCTTGGGGTTACGAACGATAGACTCGATGATGGTGGGCGATCCTGAGTGGAAATATTGGATGACGCCATCGGGCAAGCCGGCTTCCTGGAAGGCCCTGCCCACTTGTTCCGCAACGGTCGGGGTCTGGGGGGACGGCTTGAGGATGACCGAATTTCCGGCAAGCAGCGCGGGGATCAGGGCGTTGACGAGGATCAGATACGGATACTATCAGTGTTCAAGTTTGTGATTAGTACGTTGTCTCGTGGTCTACAAGGAGCAGATAGGCGCATACATTCCACGCAAAGATGATAAGTACTGGGCCAACAGGTACTTTGCGGATAAATCTCTTGAAACCCTTCTCCTCCTCACCCGGCGTGTCCTGGAGCACATCGTCGCTGATCTTGAGCAGATATTCGGACCGCTTGACGGCGGTGGCTACCTCCTTGGCCGTGTAGGCGATGGGACGTCCCATCTGGACGGTGAGCTCGTTGGCAAGCTCATCCTGCCTGTCGGCGAGGATCTTGAGGGCCTTCTTGATGATGATCTGGCGGTCAGCCAGCTTCGTTGTGCGCCATGCCTTGTACGCCTGGGTGGCAATGTCGGGAATCTGCTCGAGCTCCTCAGTGGAGATGCCGTTGCGCGTGAGGATGGGTTCCTCGGTGGTGGGGGAGATGGTGGTGATGACCTCGACAGACATGGCGACGGGAGGTAACGATGGCTGAGTGAGTGGTTGAAGATGTTAAGTGTAGGGGTATCACCCGGGCTCGAATATCAAGTGGTGACACATTGGCGAGGAGCTGCGATGCGCCGTCATCCCTTTCTAAGCTTAAGGCGGCCTGTTGTTTGCCCCTCTGCCCCTCTGCCCTGCCCCTCCAACGACGTCCAGCTTCCAGTAAGCTCCCGCGGCACTGATAACAGATAAGATAACGGTGGGTAGCCAAGGATGCACCCTTGTGTCTGCCATCAAGTATCTTGCCCAGATGCGTATGCGGCGCTTTCCACTACCAGATATCGCAAAAGTATACGGACAGCGGGGATTATTCTATTAGATCTTTCTATACCGTAAAGATGACATGAACTATTTCCAAGGCCTCTATCTGGCCTGGTTGATCCAACCATGAGTCTCGGGAGCTACAATGCTGGAAACTTGGCAGTGCACAGGCCAATGGCAGTCTCCAGAAATTTTTGGAACAGCAACTAAAGGTTCAGCCAATCTACTTAATCGACAACCAACTAAAGCGGTTTTCCCAGATCCAAAGCTCAAAAAGTTCACCGACTGCCACCCACAACAATGTCTGATAAAAGAAACGCTTTTCTCGACGCCGGCGATAGTGACGAAGATGTCGGCCGCGATTATGGCTCAGAAGATGATTTCCAAAAGGGTGGCCCCAGCGCGAAGCGCAGAAGAGTAAACGACGAGGATAGCGAGGCTGAAGACATTACCGACGACGAGCGATACCAAGACCAAGACGAGGATGGTGGCGCAAAGCTCGACGGAGAACCCCAAGAGTCCGGCGACGAGGCAGAGGAAGGGAAAGACTCCAAAGAAAAGAAACCGAAGAAGACAAAGGTCGAACTGCCCGGCGTCAAGAATTCACTGCTCAAGAAGAACCTTGTTGTCTCCGAAGCTGCCATCAAAAAGTCAGGTGTTATCTACCTATCGCGCGTACCGCCATTCATGAAGCCCCAGAAGTTACGATCACTTCTCGAACCATACGGCCAAATCAACAGGATATTCCTCGCCCCCGAGGATCCAGCAGTCCACGCGCGCCGCGTCCACGCCGGAGGTAACAAGAAGCGGTCCTACGGCGAGGGATGGGTCGAGTTTATCAAGAAGAAGGATGCTAAAAAGGTGGTCGATCTCTTGAATGCGCAAACAATTGGTGGGAAGAAGTCGAGTTGGTACAGAGATGATGTGTGGGCCATGAAGTATTTGAATGGTTTCAAATGGTGGGACCCCACCCCCCTCCCTCTCTCTCTCTCTCTGATTATCTGGGAACTCCATACTGACAGCCAACAGGCACCATCTCACAGAGCAAATCGCCGCCGAGAACGCCGAACGAGCCAGCAGAATGCGCGCCGAAATCAGCAAGTCCACCAAGGAGAACAAGGAGTTTGTGCGGAACGTGGAGAGGGCAAAGGTGTTGCAGGGCATGGAAGCAAAGGCTGCGGCCAAGCGGAAAAAGGCCACAGAAGACGAGAAGAAGGAATATGGAGGCGGCAGTGCGGTCCAAGAAGGGGTTTCTCAAAAGAAGAGGAGGACGTTTGCACAGGTACCGCTGGCAAAGAAGACGAAGCAGGAGGACCAGCCAGAGCATGTGCAAAGAGTGCTCAGCAAGATCTTTTGATCGTTGAAGCCCCCTTTTTATTGTTCGGCATCTCTTTTGCATGTGCGTATACCCTTTACTAGCACCCAACACCTCAATTCGTATAGTGATTGGAACAACAGGGCTTTGTGGTGCTGCATAGCAAAATGTGCCGATGCTTGCTCTTAGGACATCTATAATTCTGGCCTTCTCGTATGTCAAATGCTCGTTCTTATGGTTTCCAGGTGCTGTCATTTCGAATAACGTTGCGACAAGATGGGTCTCTCGAATCCAGATGGCCCCGACACTGGGTATCATCAGAGCGTGGAATCAGCAATTCGCAAGCTGGGACTCTCTCGCGAAGAGGCAGCGGAGCTCCAAGGCTACATCAAGCGGCTTCTAGACGAAGACAATGCTTTTCCCAAGGGATATCCCGTCGAATCCCTTCTCATGCACCGATACCAAAAGGACTGGAAGCACTTGCGTATATGGAAAGAGGAGCCCGTCATCAGTGTTGAGCCTGCGTTCGCAAGGTGTGTGGAAGCAGTGCGGAATGGCTTGAACTTGTCCACATTCATCTCGGTCTGCCTTCCGGTCAATGCTTCTGCTGCCACAGGCTCTTATGCAGCTACAGGACAAGCCGGCTTGGGATACGGCAGTGAGAGCGAGAGTACATCCACCCGCAAATCCAGAGGAAGCAGCACCAGTCGCGACCACAAGTTCGACAGTGTTTCATCGAGAACACCAACACCGAGTTGCAGCAAGGAGATATATCACGGAGGATTCGACAATCAGGGGTTTCGAGGCAGTCCACCCCCAGGCCCGCTTTATGTTCGACGTCACTCTAGATTGAATTTATCCTCGCCTCTCAGAACACCCTCTTTTCATGGCAGCGGGTCGGATCCGGGTCCCGGCTCACGAGGCAGGAAATACCCCCCCATCGTTGAGCGGCAATACTCACTACCTTTGGCTCATCCCCGACCACGATCATTAAGCAGCTCCAGGGCAACTTCTCCGATTTTGACACCTCATCTCGCGTTTCCGCCGTGCTCCCCCCTTACACCGAACAAACCAAACTGGGACTTCACTCCAAACAACCACGACATGCACGACTACACCGTTACGGAGTGTACCAAAACATCATCCTACCGCACCCGCACCTGGTACCCAGAATCCCATCCCACCTCCCGTAACACCCCATCTTTCGTCTGCCCTAGCACCCCCTACAGCAACGGCATCATCCCAAAAATGGACACCACCACCACTCCAACCACACCCAGCCGCAAACCCTCTGCGCGCATCAGCGTGACCGACATCATCCCCGCCCCGCTAAACCTCCCCCGTCCCCGGCGCACATCCGACTCAACCGCCAGCTACAGCCATCACGTCCAGCGCAAAGACACCCATCCTCGTCTGCCTCATCCCAACCCTGCGCCCCCAGCACCTCCAACCCATCGCTCACCCACTCCCCCAAACCTACCCATCACCAAACCTAAACAGCTCAACAGCCCTCCACACGACCCAACCATCACCAAAACCGGAAAACCCAACTCCTCTCCTCGTGAGGACCTGATCGATAATCTGTGCCTAGGAAAGAAAAGGGACATGACCCCCGACTTTGAGATCGTCCCCGTGACTCGACTCTCGCCTCAGTCTCAATCTCAGTCGTCACAAACTCATCAACAGAGTCACAGGCGGGAGAGAGCCAAGTCTGGATCGAGGGGTGATGATCGGAGGATGGACAGACCGCCCAAGAGAGAAGAAGAGCGGGAAGGGGGATCGTGGAGAAAGCTAGTTTGTGGCTGTTGTGGGGATGAGCATTGAATGGTTGCGGTTTACGGTGGATAAAGAGGAAAGATAGTTCCGTCATGCAACAAATATGCAGCATGTATTTATCGATACTCACAATACACAGAAGGAACACAGCAAAGTATCAAAGAAGTTCTCATCAAACATAACAAAAATGGTATATTTTTCCACTCCAACCCATTCACCCCATGAAACTTCACAGCCTAATCCCCTACTCATCATGAATGCCCAACTCATCAAAATCATCCAGCAGCTCATCCATATTGATCCTCGGCCCATCATCCACACCCGTCATCTCCGTCTCGGCAATGCTCATCGCGTCCGCATCCTGCTGCTTCTTCTTGGTGTTCTTGTACAACGCCAACGCGGCCCGCAACTCCTCATCCTCCTCCACATCCCGCAAGAACATCTCGTACTCGGCCTCCATCTTCTCCTGATCGGCCGCCTTGGGCAGCAACTCGCCCTCATCCTTGGCCATGCGCTTGAGCTTCCAGTTGCGCTTCCTGTTCTTGCGCCTGTTGGGGTAGTGCTTCTTGACCAGAATGACATCTGGAATCGTCGACCCGAACGCACGAGAGTTCTCAATGGCGTCCAGAGCGGAAGAGTTGAAGTTTGTTCCCGAGAGCATATAACCAAGGACCGAGTCTCCAGCATGCAACAGGTTGCCCAGATGAGTTCTGGTGAAATAGGTGTGGTCGTTTACACCGAGATCGGCGGCGCGGGCAACTTGCACTTCTGACAGAACCCACTTGCCCTTGCGGACGTTTGTTGGTTCGACGTCCATGACAATGAACTCGACCAAGTCGGGTGTACCGGCAAGAGGCTGGAATGGTGCGCGCCAGAAGACGTCGGAGCTGATTTCGGCTGTCTGAAGAGTGTTGGGGTCGAGAAGGTTGACGGACGTTCCTATCCTGTGGCAGAGGACAAGGGGCGTAATGTTGCCAATCGACCGGGCCAACTTGAGTGGCAGGGCCACCAAATCATCTCTGCAAATGGGGACAATCTCGACGGAGTAGTTGAACTTGTATGACTTGTCGCCTGTGTGGTTGTCTTGCGAAATAAGTTGCCTCGAGTCCTTGACAAAAATGGGAATGACTGATTTGAGGAAAGAAAGGAAGGCTTCGGCCTGATTTCTGTGAGCAAAGTAAAAGTCGATACCGCCCTTTTCTTCCTTGATGTTGATCGTGTCCCGATGCGCTTGGTGCTTGAGGATAAGCTGCTCCAAAAGCAAAAAGGTCCTCTTGTGGGGCACCTTTTGGCGGACTTGTACTGACGCTCTCCAAACGTTGGCTGTGTATGACTTGGCGCAGTCCTTGCACTGCTGTGTACCCACGACGTAGACCACCTCGAAACTTTGTTGCATGAGGACACCATCAGCCACTGAGTCCTGGATTGTGATCTTGACCTTGATTCTTCGCGAATGTGGTTCCGTCCAGATGAACTCTGCGTTGACAATGCGGACCTTGGTGATATTTCGTAACCTCTTCAAACACAAAGCCAGCAACTCTTTGGACTCGGGCGCAGCATTGACCCAGGTGTTGGGGGGCATCAGCCATCGGTCGCAGTCACGGCAGAACTGGATATGGGCTTCGCGGGGGATGGTTTTCGAGATGTCGACTGTCAATTTGATACTGGAGACAATTTTATCAGTCCAGGCGCCATGACTAGCAATTCAAAGGAAAACTTACCAGTCGTAGCACATGGCACCGGCGGAAGAGGTGCCATCAATGGGAGAGCCACAGTTGCAGCACAAGATGGTTGCGCCAGTGCGCGCTGTGCCCAGCATTGGGGCCATACCCATGGGAGTGTCGAGATCCATGATTTCCGTGTTTATCTGTGTCTCTCTGGGTATTGGGTTTGTTGTGTATTCGGAAAAGGTGTACCGCCTGAAGAGAGCGCAGTTATAGATATGGTGGGACTTGCACAGCAAGACGGCGAACTGGGGACTGCTGGCGGGGCGCTGCTTTCTCAAGAATTTTGACAGAAAATTGCCCCGCGCGCTGGTTGATAAGCAGTTTATCTGAATGTGGGGCTTCAACAGGTGGGGATCGTTACCTTGGCGAGTCCGCCACTCCGGCACGTGACTCATTTCGAGACGACCATATTACTAATGATTGTTGACTTTAGACATCATCGAAAGAGGCAGGAAGTGGCTTTTCGCGAAAGTTACGCAATCTGTGGAGGAAGGGACTCTCACTGCCCTCGGATGGTCCTGATTCTGTTACGAGCTGTGTTAATTGTTATTCAGGTATCCAACAAACCTCTTGCGTCGTGCCTGGTGGCCTTTTGGTCAAAGCTGGCAATAAAGTAAATCAAATTAGATATGGCCCTGACTTGATTTGATTTGATTTGATTTGAGATGGAAAAGGTCATGTTTGATTAGTATTTGATTTCTTTTGAATATATTTGAACGGGCCCGGCTACCACGCATTATAGGGTCCTAAGGCACTGGTGAGGGTGGTGGTGAGGGTGGTGATGGTGAGAGTGGTGATGGTGAGGGTGGCGGTGAGGGTGGTGGTGAGGAGTGGTGTAGCGGCGCACAATGTTAGGGTTAGGGTTGTGCATGGCTATTGGTGGGTGATGTGGTGAACCAGTATGGGGCGAGGCGTACTTAAATATACTTAAAGCAAATTAAATATGGAAAAATATCGATTTGATTGAATCAATTTGCTTTGTTGCCAGCCTTGCTTTTGGTTAGCACGAGGGTCTATTGTTCAATGAGGATGGGCCATTCGGTATAGAATATTGCTGTCTCTTCTGTGGAAGGCCCATCCTTCTGCTGTCAAGTGCCAGCATGTCAATATGTATTGATCTGTTGCTGCCATGTCCAAAATGCAGCACACTGTGATTGGCCACCTTCCCTCCACAATCCTCTAACAGAGGAAAAGCAAAGCCCCCCGCACTTCAGAACTGACATTGTCTGCCATCTACGCCTATCTTGGACACTTGTCGTTGTTTCGACTGCACATCTGCTGTGGCTATCAGAACTCGAATCCGAGCACACCGTATCCCATCACCGTTGATGCCCACGAGCGACACATATCCTCAGCCATGGCATACTGACATGAACATGGTTCTTCAACAAATACGCGCTTTCAGCCAAACACTGGGGCTGATTATATGCGACCATCTTAGCAAGGATATGCACAATCTTCTGCTCTGCAACTGAAAGTGAGCATGGGAGCAACCATTTACGCAACAAGGCAGCAGAATACCTCAGGAGCCTACAACACATGGCCGTCAGCCGGGACGTGGACGTAGCTACCGCTCCCCGGCCCGGCTCAAGGCAATCTATTTCCACCGGAGTATCGCCATAAACATCGTTTGCAAGATGACCCTCTCTGTCATGCCTGTGCCGCGGACCCTGAAATCCTACCAAGACATCATGTGCTGAGCTCGGTTGCAGCGAGGAGGAATTGGTATACCGTCTGCTATTACGCAGACAGTCACAAGAACAAGACATGGCAACCCCCAGAGCTGCGGCTGCGGTCAAGGCTCTCCTGGAGCAGTGGCCTGTGGCGGACAAGCCTGCAGCCCTCTCGCAGAAGCGGCAGCGTGAGATTGAGGCAGGAATTAAGTTGGTAAGGACTGTCCCCAGTATTACTTTGGACTGAGAATAGGTATTGTGGCACCCTGGGTTCACGAAAGGTAGGATAGCTGGGATGTCAGGTACAGAGACAGCTTGACCAGACCATCGATGGAGCGGATGGACCACGCTTCTTTCTTGGATGCCAAAACTCATTGTGGAGCGATACCCCTTTGCATCCCCTGAGCCCTAGAAACAGACCCGTCCGCAAAAGGATGTTCCAGCTTGTGTTATTTAGCAGGCGGCCATTGGGTGTCCGGGAACTCTTGCATGTTCTTGTAATTCCAGACGACCTCGAAGCCGTGTTTTTGCCCTCGAAAGGATCTTTTAGAAAGAGAATTGCCACTGAGCATTGTGTCCTTTCCTGCGCAGGAAACCTCTTAGAAATCAAAGAGCAAGGGGGTGAGTATGATGCTCCCTGTTGTTGGAATTACTCTGTATGACAAGATGACATACTGCGCTTAGAAAGCCCTACTAACATACTTTTGTAGGGAAAGAAGTGGTCCAAATCATTCACCAAACAGTGCGCGAATTCCTTTTACATCCGAACGCCTTTTTTGCCGGAAACAACTTTGGAATTCTCAATGCACTGGATGCAAACTTTAGCATAGCTACAGTCTGCATCAGGCGTTACCTTGTAACACCCGCGACGAAAGATTGGGGGTTCCCATCCATAGGATGGCTAATGAGATGGGACGGTCTTAATCTAGTACGCTAGCGCGCAGAGCTAAAGGGCGTTTAATACCGAATCTAAGGACGTAATAACGAGAACAAGATCCGAGACCTCAGTCGACTAATTAAGAATAAAGAAAGGTAGCGAAAGAAAAATATAAAGATCGGATACCGCAAGTACTACTTCCAAAACCGCCCAACCTAGGATATCAAAAGATAGCTTAGCGGCGAGGCGGAAGAAGAGGCCGAGTAAAATATATCGTACTTGCCATTAAGCTCCACATTACAGAACGGGCCGAGTTAGTCGAAATCCTTATTAACCAGCCGGAGGGCCTAAGTAGCGAGGAGCTTCTCCGGTTACGTATCCGATCCGCCGAGCTTATAACCGCCCTGAATAATAAGCTAAAGATAGTAAAACGGAAGCGTACTCAGCAGAGGGTATAGGCTAACGTAAAAGAGAAGTCTCCCGGGCCGGACCTATTCCCCCTTTTTATAGAAAAGACTCAATGTTCTCGCTGCATTGGAGACGAGAGGCAGTCATACGAGGAAAGGACTTTTCCGTACTGCCGAACAGCCGTAATAAACGACCATTTCGACCGCGAGCATTTAGGGGGAATGAAAGAAATGGAGCGTGAGAATCTAATCTTCTGCGAGCATCCTAAGTGCAAGGAGGAGGGGGTGAAGCTGAAGCATTTGGATCATTTCAGGAATCATGTGGAAAGCGTTCATGGAGTTAAGCTGCGACCGGGTAAAGCATAAAGTTGCTACTAAATTTATGTCATTTCAATCACTGCATCCTTTGTGTCGTGCACCTCGCACCGGAATGGTTTAAGGCCAACTAGGGGACAATCATATCGTACATCTTACTGGAATATAGATGGTTGCTTAGCCCCGGATGGCCCATCTCACCAGGGAGTTGACACATGCAAGCCGGTTGGCAAACTGCTCAACGGACACCGGAGATGTTTGATCATAGCTCACTTTATTCCTTAGTAGACCACGCATACCAGCCCCGTGGACAGAACTGTACGCAGCTAGTGTTCAACTTGAAGCGTGAAGAAAACGAAATACCAGAGGAAGGAGGACCGAGGCGTCATATGCACAGAGCTAAACTCGCCATCCACTTTCACACCGCATCGCGTGTCAGTGACGTTAATCTTGGCTTTCGCGGTTGCAATACTGCATGTGACAGAGATGAATTACGGGCTAATATCCATGTCCGACTTCGGTTCCAAGAGATACCCCCATTTCCATAAATGTCGGCCGGCCGCTCCGGTAAGCAGCACTGTTCCGGCTTTAAATGGTATCGCTCGTCATGATGTACACAGTAAAAATTACAGCGCGCTTTGCCAGGACTATGTAGCTTTCCACCGAAGCACACAGTACGGTGCTTTAGGTGATTCTATGACTTTCCATTCGCTCCTCGGGTAAGTCCATCTTCACCTCCACAGCAAACCCCTGCTTATCAAAGGACGTATCTGGTCTGGTTGCCAACTCTGCTATTGCCGTGAGGCGCTGAGATGTCTCAATGAGTTTGGTCGGCACACTTTGAATTACGGCAGCGGAGGCGAGGATCTCCAACGTCGGTGAGACTCGAGGAGGCTTTGCTTGGAGATTACGTCCTAGTTGGAACTCGTCACGGAGTCGTTTCTGGGCCTACTAGGTGTCTCTTGGAACCACTCATACTACTTTCAAACACCAGGAACATGCTTTAGTTCTCTGTCGAAACTATTTTCCTCCAAAATTGACATGTGCACCGGACAGCAATACCTCTCATGATGGGTGGGAGTGTCAAGTTTCATGATCGATGGCTGGATGCTAAGTCTGTGTATGACCAACATCCTCTTAATCTCTACGCCGCTGTCGCCGACATGCTCTCCTTCGTCCCCGATATGGACGCGTTTCTTAGCCAAGTTCGACTATAGTTCGCCTTTAGCCGCCTCGATCTTTACCGAGGATCTTCTGCTTTCAAGTAACCAGCCAGAGCTGTATTAATTACCTCCCGCGTTGAGATATTCATCTGTTCCTGAGCGCTGGCATAGACATCGATGGCGAGACTTGCGTTGCGATAACCCGAGCATCGGTTCAGAAGCCTTCTATTCTCCCGATTGGAGGCAATAATCTGTTCAAGTGACCGATTCAACTAAATATAAGCAAACCTAGACCGTGTGCTATCTTTACCAGTTCTAGCCCCATCCAGTAATCTAAACGCAGTTATGATATGGAGATCCGAGCTTGTTATACTGCTATGCATTGTTGTCTTTGTAAGTATTGTTATCCAATCCGCTAACGTTAGGGCTTGCTCAAAGTAATTGGCAAAAGAAGGTAACCACATCCTGTCTGATGAGCCCGGAGATCGTAGTAGTACTACTGGCTTTCCCTTGCTCGCCTTTTTGATATATGGTTTTTGGGCTGTTCTGTTTTCGCGGGAATGTTTTCGTATCCTACCTTTGCTCTCGGGCAGCGAATTTGCGTAATATGGAGCTGCCGGAGTGATTTAATTACAGGCGGTAACGGATCAATAGTGTTGATATCCGTTTCAGTACAATTTTTTATCGATAGCCATCAGGATGCTAAACCCAGCTGCCCAGAATAAGGGAAACCGAAATGTCAAAAAGATATTAACGTGCGTGATAAGGGAGTTGGCCACCTTGCCGAGATCTGGTATCGAAAATACGATAAGCAGTTGATAAGACCACTAACAATTTACTAACGTATATATATGTACATGCCACAAAATCTTGTTAAGGTAGTCAACTCACTTATCACGCACGTTATTGTAAGAATAACATCTAAAAGTGGTGGTGAGGCCGTGCTACTATATATACGTGTAGGGCTACCTAAAGCCCTGGCCGCGTGTGGTTGCAAGTACCGCGGAAGCCAGATACACCGGCCATAGGCGTGCACCGTTCCTAGGAACGCGGATAGCAAGCGCACCGTCGCTATTACACACGCAAACGTGCTGGGTCCGCACCGGGAACCTGGATCCGCGGGCGACCGCGGACTGGTCAGCCAAATGTCTAGTAACTACATCCCGGGCTCAAGGCGGTCCTGGGTATGCATCCTGGGCAGATGTCTAGTAACCGCATCTTGGGTTCAGGCAGATGTCTAGTAACCGTAGCGAACGCTCAGGCTGTGATGCCTAGTAACGCGGGTGCCTGTGAGGGAACGTCCGCGTTACTAGACACAAGGCACTTGTGGGTCTGTGTTACTGGACACCACAGTGCCACATGCGTAGTAACCTGATTCTACGGTGCTGTGGTGCCTAGTAACCTAGGTTCCTAGAAACGCCGGCTACCGGCTACACTCGGTACTAGAAACACTCCATATGACTCTATAGGTTCCTAGGAACGCTGGCGACGGCTACGCTCGTTACTAGGAACGCTCAAGTACTGCTCCCAGATTCCTAGTAACCGCTGGCTAATCGACGATCTATTGCTCCAGTTGCTTGAATCTGTTGTTTCTCTTGTTCTTTGCCAACTGTGCCCCCATCCAGATTTTCCTGTTGCGCACCTGACAGCCACCTGCCAGGTGGTCAAGGCATTACTGGCTGGTAACCAAGACCCCATTGAACGTGATAGATGTCTTCCAGCATAGTTCCCTCCGCCTAAGCTCCGGATGGAACCCATACATTCTTCAGCTACGCACCTGCCTCTTAAGATGTATGATAACAACCGATCTAGCCCTCGCCTAGGCGCCTAGCCGAAGATGCTACTGACATGCAAACAGCCAAGCCTAATACTAACTGCGTAAGACAGCAAAAGGTGTTCTTAAGCTTAGATTATATTTACGGTTTTAGTCAGGAAGTGCTGTCAGGAACAGGCAGAGCAGCTTGTCAAAAGATACTGGATTGAGTGCGGTTCTCCAAGCTGAAAAAGATCCCAGGAGAGCAGCCAGCTCAGCGAGACAAAAACACCATTTGCCGCATACCTCGCCACCATATGCAAGTATAATAGATGCTCTCTGAACGATATTATTAACCTCTAGCGTTGGTGGTGGCGGAGTATATAAAGCTAGTATAAGGTAATTCTAATCTAAGTTTATTAACTATTAGTCATATCACGAAGCTAATAAATAGCCGTGGAATCTAATACTGAGAGATATCAAGTACGTGCTGTCACAGCTAAAGTATTTTAACCGCTCGATCGAGCACATGCTCCCGGTAGCAACGTCGATGGTGACGCTGCTTGACTCGCGTCGCTCGATGCGAGAGGCTGCCAATGTTAGCCGGCTGACTTTTAGGCGCTGGTGTTTGTGCCGTTGTCTTGGGTCACCAGCCTGTTCAGCATGTCTGATACTTACTCTCCAGGACAGAAGAATTTCTGGATGTATTTTGCTACTGCACTGCCAGTGCTGTTTCTGGCCTTGCTTCTTTCGGCTGTCCTGTGGGACCAAGTAGCGAGGAATCTGAAAAGGGTCGAGGTGGTTTCGAAGTGGCAATTAGGGAGATCGAAGACCGAAGCAACGTTGGCGTAGTCGTGTAAAACGTCAGTCGCTCCAAAAGTCTGTCAGGTAATGCTTTGGTCCAGAGGAGCCGAACTTGGAGGTCGCCGTCTTGGTTATTGATGCCCTTGATAAATGGGTTGCCGACCCGCAAAAGCTCTTGGCCCTCACCATGCACATCTCGTGGTGTCGGACGTTGGACGGCATCATGCTCCTGCCCAGGATACGAGAGAGGGATTTCGTCGGCAATACTGTGCCAGAGAATATGACAGCAGCGGAGAAAAGGTTGGAGCAGCTGAGGGAAGCAACTATTGCAGATGCAGTCACCTGGGACTGGTGAGATACAAAAAGAAAAAGATAGCAGTTGTGCGACACAAACGAAACACTTTCCAGCGTCCAAAGTCTGCGGTAGGGAGGTCTGAGCGGCAGAAAAACAGGCGTTGTGACTGAATTACACATCATACACACGACACACGACACGAAAGGACGCCCTCGAAACGCACATATCGCGTGTGCATGTGGCCAAAAAAGGGTCAAGTGTTTGTGGGTCTGTAGGGTTTTTTGGGCTTCCCCTCCCTTCGCGTCCTCTACAGGTGACGCAAACCGCAAGCGGTTTGCCTAAAGAGCGTTGAGGAACGAAGATGGACGACACAGGAATATTAAAGATGTTAGGATATTTGTAGCAAAATTCGTTCATCAGGTTCCTGCGAAGAGATTGCTTTTTAAGTGGCTTATATCAATGCCGGTTTCAGGGGTGTCGAGGCCAGGATCACTGGTAGCTCCGCATTTTTCCGAATAAGGATTGCCAGAAAAGGAGGTGATATATGAGATATGATATGATACGGACACATCCAAACGAGTTCTACAAGCACATCCAAACGAACTCTCTTTAAACTTCTTTCTATCTACAGCATTGCCCCGTCTTAACCTACGTATTTTACTGCCGTGAGTCATGGATACCCGTCCAGTTCGCTTCGAATTTCACTTGCGAGGGGGCGCCGAAGAGCTGAAGTTCATTCACAATATTCCCAGCAGTCTCGTCAATGGCCAGCCTCAAGCCGCCCAGACAGATGCCCAGTACATAAGTCGGTTTGCCACCGCCATACAGCCTATCCTTAAAGTGCACGAGGCGGCATGTCGCGACGCTTCCGAACGGTTTTGCGAGAATTGCGGCCAACTCTCAGCGGGAGTTTTACAGACGCCAATGTCTTGGCTTGATAATACGAAGGATCCCTTTGTTACTATATGAGTTAACCCTATATACGGAAAGGGAGAATGTGAAACCCGGACGCGGAAGGACGTCCAGGAAATGATAGCCGAAGTTATAGCCGAAAACCAAGGTTGGGGAGCATCACGGTCCAGTGTAAATGCGGGACATATATCTTGTAGAATATGCGGGAAGACGGAAGGAATTATAAATTGCGGGAGGTGTAAAGGAGCAGCGTATTACGGAAGAGAGCATCAGAGAGCGGATTAGAAGGTACACAAGACAAGCTGTGTGCCGAAAAATGGTGAAGGTAGCTAAGAAAGGCTAGTCCTTTGGCGGAGCAGCGCTCACGACTGGTAGGCAGACACTCCGATCGAGGCTAATCTCGGGGAAATAAGCTGCTTTCGACGTCGTACAAAAGCATGGAAAAAAAGAAGTCATCCAACTCGGCATATTTCTTCGGGGGATGGCGGCTGCGGTGCGGTCGTATCCCATTATCAGAGCTCGATGGTGGAATAGAGTCGACCGAGGAATCTTCATGGTTAACAGTAGTTGATGGGGAAGGGGTGACAAATAGTGACTCCGCTGTATCTCCTGTTGGTGGCAAATTTGTTCCGGCTTGCGTCGGTTCAGGTGGCGTGTCATTCCTGTTGGAAGGCGTGGTAGTTCCATCGACAGGCCTCGAGGTGCGTGGTTTCTTCGATGGAGTCGATGCAGGCGCTCGACCTTCCCAACGTGATCGTTTCGAAGTCGGAGTGGCAGCCGGGGTCGGCGTTGCGATCGCAGAGCTAGGTCTAGGCAGGTATGTAAGGTCAAGAACCCGAAGGGCCAGACGATTCGTGTCGGTTGTGCGGCCGGCCAGCTTCGCGGTGACACTGAGAAAGGCTCCCGATGGGGGTGTCTTGACTTTCTGCCATCGTTTAGTGTTTTCCAAAAAGCAAACTACCGAGAAATAAACCGGGGCGGTTTTCGAGGGGTCATATACTGATGTTTCGATAGTAAAGTGGCGGGAATCGGAGGCGCCCGTGGAGTTACTTTCGCTAGAGGGCACCGAACCGATGATGGACACCATCGGGCACCATTGTTCTGATAAGCGCTGGCGGTAGTCGTCAAAATCAGCCACGTCGCCAGGGTGTCTAAAGTGTCAGCTGGATTATGCAGAGAGCTGAGAAAAAACATACCTCATTAAATTCAGTGTTTGGATGCTGATCTCCAGAGTGCCATCCTCTGACGGAGCAGAACACGCAAAGGACGCGAGAACACATGACGAATTCCGACGAGTGTTTGTGGGTCTTTGTTCCGAGGGCGGCGCCAAAAAACCTTTCGTCTCTTCGTTCCTCAAGGCACAGGCGTTGGGACTGGGTTACACGGCACACACACGACACGAAAGGACGCCCTCGAAACGCACATATCGCGTGTGCATGTGACCAAAAACAGGAGACGCAAACCGGTTGCGGTTTGCCTAAAGAGCCTTGAGGAACGAGGCTATATGACAGGATACCTTGAAGATGTTGGATTGTTTGTGGTGAATCTTCGTCAATCTGATTGCAGCTGCTTTTTACTGGCTGACATTCCGCAGGTTTCAGGATGCCGGGCCAGGGTCCCGGGTGGCACACGCGATGCAGATCAACAAGGGTTTGAAAGTGGGGGAATCAGGTGAGAACCTGGGAATACAACATGAAATGGAACAAACTCTATTTGAACTTCTTTTCAATTATCAAACTCACCCTAAGCTTTCTGTCCTGCATCCAGAAGAACCGCGGTACACACACCGTAGGGACACCTAAACGGTGTCCGTCTTCTGAAATGCCGTGTACGAAGATGCCTACCCAAAAAAACCGTAACCCATTCAAACAGCCCTGTACATTGTAGTAACAGTGCCCTGCTTTGATTTGACGAGACAACGGCGGAAGTATATGAACCGAATGTAGTTAGCGTGCAATAGGCCCTTTAAGCTTAGTGTCTCCGGGCGTACACGTGTAATAAATTCCATCCATCCATCTACCCCTGCTTTGTCAGTGAACCCGTCTGAGGTTGCGGCGCTAATGTCAAAGATAGGTTAGCCAGACCTCGGATTTGTTCCGATTGGTCGCCGCTTTATGACGCCTCTCAGTTAGCTTCCAGAGCCAATTAGTCTTTACGACGAAGGAGAGCAATTCAGGGGTGAAGATAAGGCTTGGAAGATTCTAGAATGTTATGTTACAACAAGATTAAAGATTTCTCAATCAGAGGCTAGGTAGGAAGCGCTGTCATCAAACAATGATAGATCGTATATTGAACAGAGACTAAAGCTTGCCTTCTCCCTTTCGAGAGGCAAGCGAAATACTAGCGAAAGATATACAGTCTGCAGATCTCGATTATCTCGATCGCCAATTCCATGACAGATCTCAATCATCTGGATCGCCAATTCCATGACGTCTTCTGTGACGTCTTTCTGACTCCACTGCATACCCGTGTCTTTCACTCCTTTGTGAATGGCAATCATCCATTCCACGACCTTTGCTCAGTAGTTTGCATCGTGACATATTATAACTGACTATAAAGTAAAGGAGCCCCCCGGACCCCTCCTTTGGCACGCTACGATAGAAAAATAAATAGAAAGAGAGATCACTCATTATCCGCTGGGAATATTATAATTAGGACACGCCCGGACATACAGCCAATGGCTATCCTCGATGCCGCTACGGCCGAACAGTTCGGCCGGTATTCCGTAGGCAACCATAGCCAGTTTTTTGAGGCCCTTGTAATCCACCTATAATCTGAGCTTATTCCATAGTGTTCATAATGCGGGGCGTTGGCGTTATCTGATCGGAATGCAATTAATGTTGAGTTAAGGGAAGATGCAACCGACCTGACCGAACTGCTATGCCCCTCTAGCGTCTGCTGGCATGATCCAGTTTCGAGATTCCAGATCTTAATGGTACGATCGCCTGACCCTGAGGCAATCCACTTCGAATCCGGCGAAAAGACGACCGACCTGACCGAATCGCTATGCCCCTCTAGCGTCTGCTGGCATGATCCAGTTTCGAGATTCCAGATCTTAATGGTATGATCGTCTGACCCTGAGGCAATCCACTTCGAATCCGGCGAAAAAA